CACATCACCGCATTTGAATATCTTTTCCAAGGCCTTCACGGCTGCTCTACCAAGTGCTAGTCTGCGGCGTATTTCTTGACTGCTTGTTTCTTTACTATCGATGGTTGATCCTAAAGGCAGAAGTTATCTACCACTTCAATACCTTCATTGTCATTTCTAAGGCTGCTGATTGTACCTGTTGTCATTAGTATCTTCTCCATCCCAACCATAATTTTGTATATTGCATCAATCTAAAGCCGTGTAGGTACTCCTGAGCACATTTTTGATTGAAGTTATTCTAGGTAGCCTCCAAAATCAAAATTGTGGCCTTCAAGAACTTTTCCAGCCCAGAAAAAAAGTTATTCTTCCTTCGCCAAGAGCAAACTAAGATTAAACTGGCATGTGATTTCTTGCATGTCAGTTCCATTTTTTTTTTTTTAAATTGGACTGCTGTTGGCCACTTTCCAGTTCTCCAGTCCCGAAGACAATCTTGGGGATGTGACACATATTTTTGACAGAAGGTCTGCTGTTTCCTATTTGAGTTCTTGAAGACTCCTTGGATAGTTGCCACCTGCCCCCTGCGATCTGTTTGTTTTCAGTTTATCAAAGAGCTCTAGAACTGTATTTTTTCGGCTGCTGTAGCTTCCTCCCTGAATAAATTATTTCAGGCAAAGGGGTTAGCCCTACACATTCTCCTGCAGTGAAAGCAGATGGAACACGTTCATTCAGCTTTCTTGGAATATTTAAAGCAAGTACACTTATGGAATTAAACGGGACAATGGAGCGCGTCAACCCCACGTCCCTGCTTAGCGCTGGAATCCAAATTCAAGCACCCTGATGTCCCTTATCCTGTAACCCAGAACAAGAGTTTTCCATTCCCAAAACTAAATGTTCCTGGTTCCTCCCATCTCCCTCTCCCCAGAGATCTTAGTGTCTAATCCCTCAATCATCATAGTTCTCCAACTTTTCCCATTTCTTTCTTAAAGTGCGAGCCCTGAAAACTGGACCATATTTGGCGTCTGCCCAAAGCCAACCCATCCAGTAGTAATGTGTGGCTGTGGGAGCTGGACCATAAAGAAGGCTGAGCGCTGAAGAAC